GGAGTTGTAGTTCCTGGAAAACAGGGGACAGCCTCCTCTTTTTGCCCCCTACTGTCTGCCTCAGGTTGTGCAGGGCCAGGTACTAGCTCCACAAAGCAGCAGGGGCCTGGAGTTGGGATCCCTGCCTCAGTCCTTCTAAGAGCAAGTGGTTTCACAGTGGAGGCCCAGCCCAGGCTGCCCTGAGTAGTAAGGCAGGGTGGCCTCAGGGGCAGGACACAGCTTCCTTCCCATGTTCTCCTGCAGAGAAGCAGCGGGAACTGGCCCGGAAGGGCTCCCTGAAGAATGGCAGCATGGGTAGCCCTGTCAACCAGCAACCCAAGAAGAACAATGTCATGGCCCGAACAAGGTAGAGGCCCTCCCTATCCAACCTGGACCCTGCCAGCCAGGATCTATTTCTGCTGGTCCTGAGCCTCCCTCTTTTCCCCTGCTCCTCAGGCCCAGCTCCTCTCTGAGAGGAGACAGCCTTAACAGGATCCAAGGTGGGGAGGGAGGGAAGGAAGGAAGTGGTGGGGCGGGACCTAACCCAGTCCCTTGCCAGGTTTCTATGCTCCACTTGCCACTCTAACTCCCAAAATTCTTCACTCAGGCTGGTTGTCCCCAATAAAGGCTACTCCTCGCTTGACCAGAGCCCTGATGAGAAGCCACTGGTAGCCCTTGACACGGACAGGTGTGTAGGGGGGTTTGGGGGCAGCTGGGCAGCCCAAAGGAACCTGTGTAGCACAAGTGGGCTATACAAGCCATACCTGCTCTAATGTCAGAATTGGGGTATTCTTCAGCCAGAATCTCTCCAAGGGTGAATTCTCCAGGGATGGGAATTTTTTTACACCAGGGACTAGGGGTTGAAGAGAGGTGGCAGAGAGAGGAAAGGGGGGCCTGCGCTGTCTGCTGTCATCCTGGGACAACTGATCCAACGGTTGTCCCTAACTGGCCTGTGACGTTGTCTCTGGACAGCAGAATATGATGCTTAATGCCCCATCCCCTCAGGGAGGAGCCCTACTCCCTGGAAAACACCTGGCTACACTTGGACTTTGGGAATACCCTACAAGTCAGGGTGATTTGAGTCTAGAAAAACAAAAGATGAGAAGGAAGGGGGTGAAAGGAGTAACTGCTATATTTAGAAGGAGGTTAAGGATAGCAATTGATTTTAAGGGTGGGGCTAGGGAACTTGTCTTTAAATTCCTGCATTTGCACAGCAAGCACAGTTTGTATTGAGATTTTGCTATTTGGAACTATGAGGGAGGTGTGGGATGCTGACTAATGGGAGGTGGGATTGTGGAGAGTTTTCTATTTAATTTCTTGGTATCACTTTCCCTCTCTTTCCTCCATGGCCAGCGATGATGACTTTGATATGTCTAGATACTCCTCCTCCGGCTACTCCTCTGCTGAGGTGAGCCCCTACCCCTTCTCGCCCTAGACACCACTGGGCAGGATCATCGCCATCAGGGGGAGGGCTGGGGCCAACGCCCAAGTACAATGAAAAAGAGGGCTGGGCAGGGCTGGGTGGTGCCCTGCACAGGGTGGGCCTGGGATAGGATGGAAAAGAAGTGGTTACTGGCCTCAAGTGCAGGGAGCCTAGGGTTAGGAGTGGGGCTTTAGATTGCAGCAGGCCATTTAAATAGAACAGGTGTAAAATACAGGTGATATCCTCTAGTAGCCGGCCTGAGATAGGGACAGGACCAGAGGTGTGAAGTTGACCTTAGAATGGGGAGGAATGACTAGAAAGAGAGGCCAGAGGTGGAGGAGGGCGCCTAGGCAGGAGCGGGGCCTGGGGTATGGACAGACGCGGGACAGAGCGGGGCTGATATCCAAGACACCGGCTGGACCAGGGCACAGACGGCCTGGAGTGGCCGCAGAGCCGTGGGTGGTGCCTCCCTGCCGCTCGGGCCTGACCTCCCTCCCCTTTGCCTACAGCAGATCAACCAAGATTTGAACATCCAGCTGCTGAAGGATGGCTATCGGTTAGATGAGATCCCCGACGACGAGGACCTAGACCTCATCCCCCCCAAGTCCGTGAACCCCACCTGCATGTGCTGCCAGGCCACGTCCTCCACCGCCTGCCACATTCAGTAGCGGGTGGGGCTGCTGCGGCCGCCAGGGCGGGGCCGCCAAGGGCTGGGTATGACGGGCAGAGGCCAACCCCTCCCCAGCTCGTCTGCCTGCCGCCCGGCCCCACGCCCCTACAGCCGCCAACCTTGTATAACAGTCATTGCTTCCTCCTATGGTAGGACGTGTACCTCTGTGTGTTCATGGAGCCGGAGAAACCAAAACCGGGTCTCTCTCCACCCGGGAGCTGAGGAGGGGTGGGGGCCGTTTGTTCAGTTACCTGGGGGAACCTCACCCAGCACCCTGCCCCACTTCCCAGGGCTGCAGTCCGGTGGCCAAGAGAGAAGACTGGACGGGAGGGAGGTCAACATTAATGAGTGGGGGGATCACAAAGCCAGGGGCTTGGCCCCACCCCAGCGAAGCCATGAACCCCCCAGCCCCGGCCTCAGCCTAACCAGGAAAGGGGCTCAGAGGGAGAAAGGCCCAGGGCAGTGGGGATGGGTCTCAGCACCTCGGAGCCCCTTTCACATGCCCCCTACCGGCCCATGTTTCTATTTGCATTTCCCCCTCCTCAGATGGGAAGCCTGGCAAAGCTGCCCAACCGGGTAGTGCCCCTCACCCATCTGATCACTGCCTTCTTCCTCCTCTTGCCCCATTCACCCGCTTCCTTGCTCCCTGGGAGTGGGGCAGGGTAAGGTGGGCCTTAGAGACAGGTTGAGGTTTGGGTGGTGTGATCTGTCCTCATTGGCCCCTCACCAATGCATCTATCTCTCTGCCACCAGCCCACCCCACCCCCACCCTCACCTATCCTTCTGCTCATTGGTCTCAATCCCAGGCTGGAAGCAGGGAGTAAGGCTGGCCTCCAATGGCCCATTCCCCTCATCCCAGCCCAAGACCCGGGAGGCTGCTTCCCAGTAAGAATCCAGGAGCAAGCTTTGGAGAATCCAGTGGGCTGAGTGGCTCTATGGATGTGGTTGTTTGGATGTGGTAGGGAGTGCTTAGCAGAATGTGTGTATATCTCTGAGGCTGTCAGGGGGTGGGTGTGTGTGTGTCTCTGTTGGACCTCTCTCCTCAGTCTATTCCTGTCATAGATGTGGGTGTCCCTGGTGGGCAAGTGCCTGTGTGGTCTGTTTACAGTGCAGAAGGCAGCTCAGCAGTGCAATGGGCTGACAGCCTTAGACCAGGAGTCAGAAGCCTGGGTTTTGGTTGTAGCTCTGGCCCCTCCCTGTGATCTTCAACAAGCCACTTGCTTTCTCTGGTCTTCAGTTTCCTCAACTAGAAAATGAACAGCAGCTGAAATTATGTTTAAGATCCTTTTATACCTAAAAGAGTTTCTTCATAGGAATTTCTGTGGTAGGGAGGGGGTGATCTCTGTGTGTCTCAGTACACCTAAAGGTTGGGGTGGGGCTGAGTTGTGTGTCTCTATAGAAAGGGGAAGGGGCAGTTCCTATCAGGACTGTGTATGTCTGAGCACACGTGGCTCTGTTTGGGATTACGTGTTTTCTGTGAATGTGTATGTGTGTTGGGGGGTATCTATTGTGTGTGGCTGTATAGGGTGTCTGTAGGTCAAGATGTGTATACAGCTGCTTCTGCTATTGCTGGTTTGGGGGAGGGTTCCGGAAAGCTGAGGCTGAAAATCAAGAGGGAAGAGGTAAGGAAAGCCCTCCTCTGGAGCTGGGCAGTGTAGACCTGACACCATGTGAAGAAAAATGAAAGCACAGATAGCCTAAAACTGCACAGGCCTGTGCCCACATACCTTATAGCACAGGCCCAGGTGGATCATCTCATGCTAACACCCCACATGTGCTGCTGGATCCACTCCCATGGATCCACTCACGTGCTGCAGGCATGCAGTAGATTCACCCACAGCCCACTCTCTGGACACCAATCCTGGGAGATGGCAGCTGGAATGGGGAGCAATGAGAGGAGGGAGTGAGGCTGTTGGCTTAGGAAGGGTGGCACCTCTCCCTGCATCATACCCAGGAAGTGCCAACTCCAAAATATTGGGGTGCAGCTTACCACCCCCCACTCCTCCAACCCATCCCTACCTCCTCTAGTGCCAGGGACCCAAGTTAGATGATGAGAAAATGCCAAACAAAGGGAGGCAAGGACAGAGAAGGTACCTGCAGGACCCACAAGGCTCATACTGGCCCCCATCTGAGCCCACCTCTCCCACCCAGATCAACATCCCCCCAGCCCCTGTGCCCCCATCATCTGGAACCCAGAGCCAGGCCTCCCACTACCACCACCACCACCCCGGGGCTCCTTGATTCACCTTTCTAGAACATGGGTACCTCCTCTTTTTGGGGGCTCATTTAGACTGCTGCCTTTGCTGCTGACTTGCTGTGTGACTCGGGCCCATTGTTCAATCCCTGTGGCCCTGAGACACCAGGGAAAATCTCCCTCCCACAGGACATACTAGTTCCCTGGCAGGCAAGGGCTTCCAACTGAGGCAGTGTATGTGTGGCAGAGAGAGGCAGGAAGCCGGCAGTGGCAGCTTCCGTGTCTAGGGAGGGGCATGGCTCCCTCCTTCCCTGTCTAGGAGGTTAGAGGGAAGAATCTAGGCCTTAGCTTGCCCTCCTGCCGCCCTTCCCCTTGTAGATACTGCCTTAACACTCCCTCCTCTCTCAGCCGTGGCTGCCACCCAGCCAGGTTTCTCCGTGCTCACTAATTTATTTCCAGGAAGGTGTGTGGAAGACATGAGCCGTGTATAATATTTTTTTTAACATTTTCATTGCAGTATTGACCATCATCCTTGGTTGTGTATCGTGTAACATAAATAATGATATTAAAAGCATCAAACAAGCCAGCCTCAGCTCCCTCCCTGGGGTGTGGGCAAGGGGCAGATGGGCTGGGAAGCAGAGAGAACCAGTCCTCTGGGCACACATGTTACTCCACCTCCACCCGTGGGTTCCCAGGCATGCCACTGACCTGCTACATGACCCTGGGTGAGTCACAACCCCTCCGAACCTCTGTTTCTCTTCAACAGTGAGAAGCCTGACCTAGAAGATCTCCAGAGGCCCTCTGAACTCTTAGATATTGGGCTCTTTTGATAGACTTGAGGCAGGAGGGGGTCAGGATCAGGGAGGGAATTAGACCTCCTCACCTTCCCGGGGATGGGGCTGAGTCAGGTGATATCACAATGGGCAGTGCCCATCCTGGAGGGGACATCAGTGTGGGGTGGGAGCAGGAAGGCTGTTGGGGAAGGAAGCTGAGAGATCCTCTGCAGGAGGGGATTACAGCAGCTAGGGGCACCTGCCAGGCTGGAGGTGTGGGTTATCTAGGGGAAGGGTGGTCACTGATGTCCAGCAGGAGCCCTTGACAGGTAGAGCCCATCACAGCATCTCCAAGACCACACCATGTTCCTGTTCTCCCGTAAGACCAAGACCCCTATCAGTACCTACAGTGACTCCTACAGGGCTCCCACCTCCATCAAGGAGGTCTATAAGGACCCACCTCTGTGTGCCTGGGAAGCCAACAAGTTTCTGACTCCGGTAAGTGGGAGATTGGCGGGGAGGGGCAGGCCAGAGCGTATGGCCAGTCTGGATGCCTGACAATGTGTGTAATTATTTGTAGCTTTGTGTGTGTGTGTGTTTTATTCATTTACCTAGGCACAGAATTTACAATGGTATGTAAAATACCACAAAATCCTGCCTTCATGGAATTACATTAGGGTAGGAGGTAGGAACAGGCAGATAATAAGAAATAAACATGAGTTTTATAAATTCTTCAAAAATACTGTAAAGGAAATAAACAGAGTAGTGGAAGTGGAAATGGAAAGGGAGGGCTACTTAGGTCATGGAAAACCCTCTCTCAAGGTGACAATAAACTGAGACTGGAAAGATGAAATAGAACTAGCCACATGAAGAACTGAAAGAATAGAAGAGCTGAAAGTTCCAGACGAGTGATCAGAAAGTGCAAAGGCCCTGAGGCTGCCTATGGAATAGGCCAGAAACTGTCCTATATGCATGCCTTTAATGTATATGTATCACAGTTTCCTTGCGTCTGTGCTTGAAGATTGGTGGCCAGGTGGGAGGAAATCTGTGAGTCTGTGACTCTGCCTAAGAGAATTTATCTGTGTGTACCATCCAACAAAACTTTGCTGAGTATCTTCATCTGTAGGCAACTCAGGATACAAAAGGGAAAGGCCAGACCTTGCCTTTGAGGAGCCCACAGCAAACAAGTGAACAAAGTAGAGTTGCCTGATGTGGAACATGCACCAGCAGAGGTGGAGAGCCAGAAAGGGGAGAGCACTGCCCAACCTGAAGGGCAGATCTACTGAGGGATCCAGGAGGAGGAGGCTTCCAGCAGAAGAGAGTCATGAGAAAAGGCAGCCTGTGGGCAGGGACCTACCAGAAACTGAAACTGCTAGAGCAGGAGAGTTTAGTCCTTGGGTGAGGGAGGAGTCTCCAGACCAAGAAGGGCCTCTCTGGCGATGTTTAGGAGCGTGGACATAAGGCTCCAGGTTTTTGAACCTGGGAGGAAGAGTCATGGTTCAATTGTGAGTTAGGCCACTCTGGCCACAGTGTCAGGGAATTGCAGGGGCTGGGGTTGAGGGCAGGAAGGCCAGCGAGGGGTAAAAGATGAGGAAGGAAGATGTAGGTAGGAGATAAGGCGATTGTCACAGTGAAAAAATGAATTTGTTGAATAGGAGACAATTTTTTTTTTTTTTTTAGACAGAGGCTCACCCTGTCGCCCAGGCTGGAGTGCAGTGGCTGGATCTCAGCTCACTGCAAGCTCCGCCTCCCGGGTTCACGCCATTCTCCTGCCTCAGCCTCCCGAGTAGCTGGGACTATAGGCGCCCGCCACCTCGCCCGGCTAGTTTTTTGTATTTTTTTAGTAGAGATGGGGTTTCACCGTGTTAGCCAGGATGGTCTCGATCTCCTGACCTCGTGATCCACCCGTCTCGGCCTCCCAAAGTGCTGGGATTACAGGCTTGAGCCACCGCGCCCGGCCGACAATTTTTTTAAATAATGTATTTTGTCTAACTACAAAATAAATATATGCACAATGTAGAAAATGCTGATAACTCAGAGACGCACAAAGAAAAAAGGTCTAAAATTCTACTACCTAAAATAACCATTGTTAATATATTATTATATAATATGCCCTTTCAGGAAGCAAATATTGTTTATTATAAAAATAAATAAAATTTATTACAAAATGGTGTATTTAAGGAATCTTATTGAAAATTTAGGTTCTTTATAAAATTTTGCTAGTATAATCATTCTTATACATGTATCTTTGTACACATTTCCAATTATTCCCTTAGGATAAATTACTAGACATGAAATTATTGGGAGAAAGGATATTACACATTTTTAAAACTTTTGCTATACACCTCAAATTGCCATAATAAGTAAGGGCTCTAACAATTTACATTTCCACAAGCAAAATATGAGAGTGCCTGACTGCTTTTCTATACTCAATAGGAGGAAATTTTAAAAAGTAGATGAACAGATTTTGGTCACCATCTGGATGGTGAGGGGAGAGATTAGGGTGACCCTTGAGTTTTTGGCTGTGGCAACTGGAGGAATGCTAATGCTATCAACTGAGGTTTGGAATAGCAGATTAGAGATTTGGAGTTCATTTTAGGACAAAAATATTTGAGGATATACAGGAAAAGATGTTCGGCAAGTAGTTAGATACAGTTATCTGAAGCAAAGGAAAGGTCTGGGTTATAGATAGAGATCTTGAAGTCATCATCATATAAATGGTAGGTGAAGTCATAGGAAGAGATGAAATTGCCAAAGAAGAGAGAGAAAATGGCCAAGGACATAACTTTGGAGAATATAAATATTTAAGGGTAGGTAAAGGAAGAAAAGCCATAAAAGAAGACAGGGAATTATTGCCAGAACACTAGGAAGAAAATCAAAGATAAACCAATAAATACAGCATTATTAGCCAAAGATCAGTGTCAAGCGTTAGTGACAGAGAAAGAGATCTCTTGGATGTAATGACTCTTGGTAACTTAGCCAGACGGCTTCAGTGAATGGTGAGGAGTGAAAGTCAGATAGCAGTGGTATTAAGAATGAAGGAAAAGCCAGGCATGGTGGCTTGTGCCTGTAATCCAAGCACTTTGGGGGGTTGAGGCAGACAGGCAGATTGTTTGAGCCTATGAGTTCAAGACCAGCCTGGGCAACATGGTGAAATCCTGTCTCTACTAAAAATACAAAGATTAGCCAGGTGCAGTGGCATGTGCCCATAGTCCCAGCTACTCAGGAGGCTGAGATGGGAGAATCGCTTGAGCCCAGGAGGTTGAAGCTGCAGTGAGCCGTGATCACACTACTTTACTCCAGCCTGGATGACAGAGCAAGGCCCTGTCTCTTTAAAAAAAAAAAAAAAAAAAAAAAGAATGAAGGAAAGGCTTCTGCTTTTGGCAGTGTGGTGGTCTAGAAACTCTGAAGGGCCCTCCTGCTTTGAAACAACTTAAGTTCTGAATAAAAATTATTTTGTGTTGGACTGTCATGGAGATGAGTGGTAAGTATAGTTAAAAAGACAGGATTGTCCTGAGGACAAATGCCATTATTAGCACTACAAACAGGCATTTAAGCCTTAAACTAGCTGAAAGATAGAGGAATTAAATCTGTAAATTCCAAACTTAACCAGAAAGTTTCATGTCTCTGCCCCCCAGCATACACATACACACACACACCCCATGAATATTTATCTTCAATGGCGGAAAACATCCTCAGTGTAGGTTTCCAGGTATCCTTTGAAGAAAGGGCAATTAAACATGAGCTCACAATAAGAGATAAAAGAAAACAAACACCATATTACAGAATCTGCACACACAACAAACAATAAACTTAAACTCCCAAGAATTTCAGATATTAGAATTAACAGTTAAATAATATAGAATAATTGGGCCAGGTGCGGTGGCTCATGCCTGTAATCCCAGCACTTTGGGAGGCCAAGGCGGGTGGATCATGAGGTCAGGAGATTGAGAGCATCCTGGCTAACACAGTGAAACCCTGTCTCTACTAAAAATACAAAAAATTAGCTGGGCATAGTGGCGGACGCCTGTAGTCCCAGCTACTCGGGAGGCTGAGGCAGGAGAATGGCGTGAACCCAGGAGGCAGAGCTTGCAGTGAGCCGCGATCGTGCCACTGCACTCCAGCCTGGGCGACAGAGCGAGACTCCGTCTCAAAAAATAATAATAATAATACAGAATAATTAGGATTTTTTAAAAAATGTGAAATCTGGACAGGCATAGTGGCTCACGCCTGTAGTAATCCCAGCACTCTGGAAGGCTGAGACAGGAAGATCACTTGAGGCCAAGAGTTCAAGACTAGCCTGGGCAGCATAGTGAGACCTTGTCTCTATTTAAAAAATAAAAATAACTAAAAATATGAAATCATTAAAATAAGCAAGCAATAAGAGATTATTTAAAAATGAGTAGACAAATGTAAAAAGGAACTGAATAGAATTTTTAGAAATGAAAAATGTATTTGCTAAACCAAAAACTCAGCAGATGGATTAAAGAGCAGAGTCAACACAGCTGAAAAGTCCAGTGAAATGAAAAATAGACTGAAAGAATTTTCCCAGAATGCAGCACAGAGAGACAAAGATATGAAAATATGAAAGAAACATTAAACGATATGAAAGACAGAATGAGAAGATCCCACACACATCTAATGGGAGTCTCAGAAGGAAAGAGCATAAAGAACAGGCATTATCTAAAAAGAAAAAGGCTCAGAATTTTCCAGAACTAACAAAATAAGTGAATCCACACATAGAGAAAAAAATAGAAGAAATTCCACAGTTAGGCACCTCACAGTGAAACTGCAGTTCACCAGCTTAAGAGATGACCTTAAAAGCAGACAGAGAAAAAGATATTTTCAAAGTGTCATCTTTTCAAAAACCAAGGAAAGATAAGACATTTACAGGCAAACAAAAATGAAAATGTTTACTACCATCAGGTCTATATACAATAAAGGAACTTCTAAAGGATATACTCTGGGGAGAAGGAAAATGATCACAGAAGTCTGAGATGCAAGAAGGAATGGTAAGGAACTGATAAACATGAGGTAAATTTAAGCAAACATTATAGAAAATAATTATAATGGCTTTTAATTTGTAATATTTAAAGGAAGAACTAAAATATTAGAAAACTATCATTTAAGTTGGAATAGGACAGAGTTAGGTGTTCCTAGATTCTCCCATTGTTCTAAAGAGAGCATAAGATATTACAGTTTTGTACTGTCAACTAGCTGGAACTATAATTGCAGGAATTCCCTTTGCTAAATGTTTCCCAATTGGCCATGAGAGAAATCTGCATATTTGGAAAACATAAATGAAAGAATAGCCATTTTTACCCTCTGAAGATTGATGTGGGGTACCAAGCACTGTGGCAGCTTATGCACAATGTCGCTGATTTAGTACTTCACCTTATTGCCATAGGGCAGCATTTGGCTACAACTCCTCTAGCTCCCACTGGATCTCCTTCAGCCTCTCTGGGTCCTGGGCCAGGTGTATGTGCAATTCCACGGCA